ACGTGTGCTCTTCCGACCTAAAAGCTATTCGCATGCAAAGATCCGTTTTAAGAAACATGGTACAAAATGATAACTTTAAGGCTTCATAATTTGCCTACAAAAAGTAAGCTCCATTTAAAAGTTTCGGAGAATTAGTGTCTCATGGTTTACTATCATTTATCCCCAAAATAAAGTCCGGAATCGAGGACGAAAATACAGGGCATTTTTGGGGTCACTCTTTATGTGTGTGTCTAGCACCGGAAAGAATCGTAAAGTACATAAAAACCGAAACGCGGATCGTTGATGTCGTGGTCAAATTACAGTAATTGATAATAAAAATAAATAAATTAACTTCCCAGACAACACAAAGTTTAAAATCGATGCATGAGACGTCTTTTAGTTATTTTTTAGACATTTTTTAGATATTAGTTCTCGAAAGAAGTGTCTAAAAGATATCTAAAAGTCGTCTTATGCGTCAATTTTAGACTTTGTGCTGTCTGGGTTGTTATAGTAACATTCCATGATTTACCATACCATATATTTCTAGAGTGTTTGAGAAATTCAAAAAATCTCGTTATTAAAGATTTAAAAACCAAGCTGTCTTATTTTAGTCTTAACAAATTAGGATAGATTATTAAGGGACATAAAGACCTTCCGAAATTCTCAAAAAGAAATGTATAAATTTAATTATAAAATCCCAGAGATTGCGACGCTTCCTATGTCGAACAAATGACTAGACAGCTAAAAACGAGAATTTTGGAACACGAAAATCATATTAACAGAAAACCTATTCGGTAATCACAGAGCACAGATTAACTTATGAACATGATTTTAAGTAGGAGGATGTGGAAATAATTGATACCGAACGTTATTTATAGGGAAAAGATTAATATCGGAAATAATACACATCAAAAAATAAAAAAATGGTCTTAAATTTATACACAGTCGGAATCATTACACCATTCCTATATAGCGGTATTAAATAGATTGTAAATAAAGCCTAATGCCTTCTTTGTCATTGCCATATGCAAATGAAACCGATCTGTACATCACTCATTTAAGTTGGACGGTCGAAATGTTATCTCCGAAATTCAAGTGTTAGAGAAACTTAGGAACAGCATGTAGTTCATCTTTATTGTAACAAGTTAATTAATTTATTTTTATTATCAATTACTCTAATTTGATCATAACAATCCATGTTTCGATTTTTATGTGCTTTGCGATTATTTTCGTTAATGCAAGACACATAAATTTTTATTTAAACACGTTAATACGGGTACGGTTCGTCCAATTACAAAGCATTATTTATTATATTCATCACATGGCTTTGTAACCGAGGTAAACGACACACTAGATTTGTGTAAATGTCTGACTCCCGCTTGGAGACTGTGAAGTTTATTAATTGAAGATATATTGATGACTCGAGGATGAGTCGAAAACTTTGTATTTATATAGTTATTATTAGTAAAAAAAGATTTGCTCCTCATTAACAGCTTGTGACTCTCATTTGTCTGTTTTGTCGTTACATTTTAAATATCGAGAGTCCTTTCTAGAATTTGAATTAAATTTTCGATCTTGAAACGCAATTCAGCTATTATTTTTCACAATAAATTTTTCAAAGTTTTAAGATACTTATTAACGTTAACATCTTATTAAATTACTAAATTATTTAATTGGTAATTTAATTTGTAACATTGATTTATGGCATTTTTAAGATGTCATAAACCAATCACAGAGCTATATTAATATTTTAATTAAGACATTATTTAAAACAGAGTCTTAAAATAAAAACAAACTATGAATACTAGCTATGTAGATTCTCAGTTTTTTTAATCTAAAAAAAGGTACGTTAAGTCGATTATAGAGATGCCTGTCGTAGGCATCGAAAAATAAAAAAAATGTTATTTTATTATTTTATTATTTATATTAATTTTATTTCCGGTCTAGTTTTTGGGTGGAAAGTGATCTAAAGAGAGTCAAGATGCTTGGATAATTTTCTCTATGCTGTAGCTATTGTGCATTTTGTCCCTTGTAAATTATACGATAAAAATAATATAGGCAATAAAAGTATCGCTATATACTTATTAATAAAAAAATATGATATATAATAATTTAAAAAGTGTGATATATACACTTGGCGCCAAAATTAAAGGATCACCTATTCTGATCGCTAAAAATAAACAAATTTCAAAAGAGTGTAACTTCGTCAAAAATAATCGTAACAGAACGACCAAAAAAGCATTTTACAACTTAAAGTCTCTATTTTCGAAATCCATAATTCATTAAATGACTTACTGATTCTTTACAAAGCTGCACGGATGGAAATGGAGATTCATCAAATCTAAAAATTTGTTACTAAATTTGCGAAGTTTTATGGAATGAAATAAAAATCGCATACAAATGCGACTTACAGCGATAAAAATCGTGAATCTTTACCTTTGATTTGCGCACTCGTTGAGCATTTTGCGATTTTTTGTCACTAAGTTATTCAATGTTGAAGCATAAGGACCATTTTTATTTCAATGTTGAGTAACTCGGTGAAAAAAAATCGCACAATGCTGATCAAATGCGCAAATTAAAGGTAAAGATTCACGAAAACTGTAAACTGCATTTATGTACCATTTTTAATTTGGATTATGGAACCTTGCAAAGTTTGAAGAAGATTTTGATATTTGACAGATCTTCTTTACAAACTTTGCGAAGTTCCATAGAGTGAAATAAAAATCGCATATAAATGCGGCTTACAGCGTTCGAAAGCGTGAATCTTTACCTTTAATTTGCGCACTCGATCAACATTGTGTGATTTTTTTAACGAGTTATTTAATACGAAAGCAAAAATGGTTCTTTTTACTTCAATGTTGAGTAACTCGGTGAAAAAAAAATCGCACAATGCTGATCGAGTGCGCAAATTAAAGGTAAAGATTCACGCTTTCAGATCGGAAGAGC